GCATTGGGTTGAGGCAGACAGGTCCCTGTCCTTCTTAGGAGGAGGGTAATCAAACTAGATGGTTGTGGGAGGAAGTCTGATTTGGTAGGCATAACATGACATCCAAAGATGAAGGCTGTGGCCTGCAAGGAATTGTCCTGAAAATCTTGGCATCAAGACATTCATTCTTCCAAGCAGGCAATGATCATATAGTGACTGAGAATCCCCTGGCAAACATAAAGGAAGTATATCCACAGGTGCAGTGCTCCAGGTCTTCAGATTGGAGTTCAGAGACCAGTCTTTTTTTCTTTTGATACAGAGATTTGCTCTTGTTGCTCAGGCCAGAGTGCAGTGGCATGATCTCAGCTCACTACAACCTCTGCCTCCTGAGTTGAAGCAATTCTCGTGCCTCACCCTCCCAAGAGGCTGGGATTACAGGCGCCCACAACCACGCTTGGCTAATTTTTTGTATTTTTAGTAGACATGAGCTTTCATCATGTTGGCCAGGCTGGTCTTGAACTCCTGACCTCAGGTGATTCATGTTTCAACCTCCCAAAGTGCTGGGATTATAGGCGTAAGCCACCGTGCCCAGCCCAGGGACAAGTCTTGAGTAAACATTCAGCAATGTGTATGGGTAATAATGAGACAGAGTCCATTCCTTAAGGCACTCGGGTGGCCAGGTTTCCAAAACTCAGATGTGGTCAGTTAGGGCCAAAGGGGATATGAGACTCCAGAGCAATAACAAATGTCAGTCCTCAAAAAGGGGACACAAGGCCAAAGCTAGGCCAGCCACTGAGAGTTGGGAAAGCACTTCTTACATTTCTCTCGGTTAAGGTGAAGACCAGTCCTACAAATAAGATCAAAGTTAAGCCTATGTGGACCCAGCAGTGAAGGAAGGCAAGTTGTAAAGGTTGAGAATCAAGGAGGACCTGATAAGGAAGCTGAGCTGGCTTTGTCCCAAAAAAGGTTCCTGCATGCTCTGGAAAACCCAACACAGGCTGGGTACGGTGGCTCACACCTGTAATCCCAGCACTCTGGGAGGCTCAGGTAGGCAGATCACTTGAGGCCAGGAGTTCAAGACCAGC